AGGAAAGATAAGGAGGGTAGAACGAAGTTACCAGATCAAGGGTGAATGATGATGTACGGGTCAGGCGGTGCATTCCAGGAAGAGAGAGTAATCAGAACACAAACACCACACAAAATCTCACAAAGGTTGAGTTATTGACTCTAAAATCAAATAACAAAACTGACTCAACCGAGGATAAATAGAGAAAGAAATGCAAACCGACTGGTTGGGTTGCCTCCCAACAAGCGCTTCTTTCACGTCGTGAGCCGGACGATGGCTCCTAAGTTTCGGTCCATGCTAGAACCTCCTTGAAGTTGAGGTTCTCATCTATGAGGTGGAGTCTCAAGTCACAAGCAGGTGGTGTGGGAGGTGAAGGCTCGTGCACTTGATGCAGATGAAGTCTCCACCCTCGAGACCTCTTCTTCTCTTCTCTCGTCTCATTGCCCCAAACCAGATAATACAACATCGATTGGCCACCATCGCGTCCACCAAGAGGGACCGATGTCGATGTGGCCTTGGTCTGGCAAAGAGACACTGCAAATGGGTCCTTGGCAAGCAGCTCCTCGAAGTTTGGTGGGGATATTACTTGCAACTCATGGTCGGTGCAAGCCTCTTCCACCTTAACTCCGTCCTCAGCCTGGACGCCAATTGCTTCTTCAACCTCCCTTTCTTCTTCATGTGGTATCACCCCTGGGAAATGATCAAGAACTCCTCCTGCTTCACTTTCGTCATCCTCCACAACTTCTTTCTGAACCCTTTCTTGCTCTTCGTCTTCTATCACGGATTGGAGAGCAAGTTGCCAAGCAATTTCTTTCATGAGATTTTCTTGCATCTCCTCACTCATGCCCGCCTCTTCAAAGCTCAGTTTGGGATGTGGGAAGGTGTGGTCGGCTACGACTGGATATTCCTGATCATGATCATCACGGGAGCTTTTCGTGAAAACTTCTGTTTGCTCCACAATATCCTTGTAGCCTTCGTCTTCCTCCTCCTCTTCTAGTATGATAGCAGAAGGGTGATCTTGAGTAGGTTGTGCATAAGCTTTCTCAAGATCCTCGAGGCTCTTCTTTATGCTCAGGAGGGTCTCCTCTGTTTCACGGTAGGAGAACCCAGTTTGGGCATTGTCTGGGATATCCATCTTTGGAAAGGATGTCTCAGGTACTCGAGCAATCTGCTCCACGAGAAGCCTAAAGTGATAGTTTGGATCTGGCTGATGGAGGAATTCTTCTTGATAAGGAGATTGTTCTTGAAATACCCAGGGGTCTGATTGTTCTTCGTAGGATGGGGGTTGGTACTGAAACCCGAATCCATAGTCTTCTCCTCCTTGATTGCTCCAGGGGGGGTAATACCACTCGGATGGTGGTGGATACCCCCAATGGTTGGAGAAGCCATGAGGATCCATGATTCAGATCTGCACCAACAAAAACAAAAACACCCAAGTGAAAAGCAAGGGTGGAAAAGAAAAGAAAAACGCTAAAGTAACAAACTTCTGCCTTTCCTAATAATCTAGAAAGTCCCCGGCAACGGCGCCAAAAACTTGACTCGCTAAAACACAACTCCTAACAATGGCCAAGTGTAACCAATGAAAGGGACTGCAGTATAGTGGCACAAGTAATAAATATCGAATCCACGGGTCTCTAGAGTTACTATTACTCAGCTTCAATTCATTATCTAGCAAAACATATTAAGATGAAAGAACTAAAACTACTCTAGCAAACTACAGTTAAAGTTAATCTAATTACAGGTTGGGAACTCACTTAGGTATGATTCCCCCTAGCCACTAGCCAGATTAACGATCGATGATTTCTAACTTGTTTCACTTCATTCACAATGCGGAGAATCCTTGACTAGACCTTGAGTCTCGACTAAAGGAACAAGGCCCTCTTGAGTCAATTGCCTAGAGGGACGTATCCTTCTCTAGAACAATCAATCAAGGCGTTCTGAACTAGACTCCCTCTATCGAATGAGGTTCTCAATCGATACAAAGCAGTGAATCAACCCTCGACTAAAGCAATCGATCCACTACTATCAATCTATGGTGCTCTATTGACCTAATCAGGTATTCGCTCTCATAGGATCAAAGCAGAATCAATAATCTCGACTAAAGCATAATTGAATCGTGAAAACATGCATAGATTGAATATGAACTCAAGATTATCAAGTCAGAGTACTCATACAATCATCCAATCAAACAAACATGGCTAGGGTTCCTCAAAACCTAAGTGAAGGGAAGTTACTCCATAGAGAAGAGAGAGACTGCAGTAAGAATCTTCAGATGATCAGTCTTCAAGTCCGGGCTTGTTCCTCGAGCTTCCAAGGCGAAGAAATCCTCCAATTCCACTCCAAGAATGCCCTCAAATCGCTCTCTCTCTCTTTGGTTCGTCCCTAGGGTGTTTGGGATCCAAAACCCAACTCTCCCTCTCCAAAAATCGCAAAACAGCTTTTATACCCGCTGAAACTCGCACCCCCTACTTGCACGGCCGTGCAAATTGAGGTTTTGGCCGTGCAGACCCCTTGGGAAACCCGCACGGCCGTGCAGAATTTCACACGGCCGTGCACAATTTCCAGCATGCACTCCTAAGCTTCGTTGATCTCGTTTGAGCTCGTTTGACCTCCGATTCAGTCACCGTTTGATCCCAGACGCTCGTAGTCTCGTCCTCTTTCTTTTCATGACAAGCTTGCATGATTCTTTGTCCATAAAGTGAGGTAGAAATCCATTCTTCTTCAGGTCATGCCCGAGTTTCTTCTCCCGAATCGTCAATTGATCTCTGATTGACTTGAAACTTGCGCCTATACTTCACTTTATGTGCTTAGACCTGAAATGTGAGAAAGGAACACAACCTAGCGTAAAATAGGCCAAAGACACGATAATTCAAGCTCAAACAATCAAGAAACAAAGGGGAAAACATGTGCAAATACCGAGTCATCAGTTCAGTTGTTTCTTCTTTGTCAGCACAAGTTGCAATTAGCAGTATTTGAGATGCCTCGTCGTACACGTTCTTTGTTGGTGAGCAGCCTATCATGGAGGACCATCCAGAGGAAGTGCTTGATTCTGTTTGGCCCTCCCCATTTTCATAGGTTCTTCCACTTCTGCATCTCCTCTTCTTCCTCAAGGTTGGCAGCAAGGGCATAGGCAGACTTCATTCGAAACCTTCCATCACGTTCAAGTCCCCATGCCATTTTATCCTCTTCGAGCTCGGGTTTGGGTGTTTCTGCACCTGCAATAAGGGATAACAACTCATCAGGGAGGAGAGGTTTCAGTCTCTCACAATTCCACTCACCTGTTTGGGTGACCCAATTAGAGACTGGTGAGTCCCTTTCCTCGATGGTGATCTCCTCCGGGAGGTATTCCTCGAGAATGACCCCACTATCAAGCCATGGATGCTTCCAAAAACTGGTTGTCTCTCCATTGCGAATACTCCAGCAGGAAGCTTCCTTCATAAGGGGCATTGCCTGAACAATTGCTTTCCACAAACTAGAATGATTAGATTTTTTCATTGAAATAATTTCACCATACTTCTGCTTGTAGTATTTCCCTTGGAGGACTCTAACCCAAAGGTCGTTTTCGTTGTTGAAGATATTCTAAGCAAGTTTTATCATATAGGCTTTGTTAAGGCTGCGGGCAGATCTAAGCCCCAACCCTCCCAAATTCTTGGGTTTGTAAATCTGCTCCCAAGATACCAGATGTGCTTTCCTTTTCCCCTCTTGAGATCCCAAACAAAACCACGAATTTTCTTATCTATAACATCACACACAGTCAATGGGATAGGGGTTGTATGCATTGCATAGTTGGGAATAGCATTCAGAACCGAGGTTGCAAGTGTGACCCTCCCAGCAAGGGAGAGGGTTCTAGCCTTCCAAGCTGTAAGACTCCTATCCATTCTATCGAGAACATACTTGTAGGTACTCCTAGTGATCCTCCCATGAATGTCAGGAACACCAAGATACCTCCCAAGATCATTTGTTTCCTGTATACCAAGTTTAGTATTAGTTCTAACATTCTTAGAAAAGAAAACACAAGATTTTACTTTGCTAACAAGTTCACCAAAGGCTAAGCAAAACGAACCAAGACAGTTAAGGACCACATTAGCTTGGTCTGGGCAAGCATGGGAGAAGAGCACCAGATCATCAACCAAGAAGAGGTGGGTTAAAGCAGGACCATTCGGGGATAAGGTAACAGGTTTCCAGTTTCCTTCCCTAGACTCTTTCAGAATGCAATGGCTAAGACGTTCAATGCATAAAGTAAAGAGGTAGGGTGAGAGAGAGCATCCCTGTCTTAAACCTCTTGATGGCTTGAAACTTTCCGTTTCTCCACCATTCCAGAGGACTTGAAAAGGAGGTAGTGGTTACACAAGCCATGATGAGTCTGACAAAATCCAATGGAAATCGTGCAGCACACAAGGTTTCTTCCAAGAACTTCCAGTCATTCATGTCATATGCTTTGGCAAGATCAACTTTCAGTAGCATGTAGCCTTTCTTCCCTGTTTTCCTGGCCATGGAGTGCACTGTTTCCTGCAATATATATAAACATTCTACCCCTAGTTCATAACACAAAAACCCTACGTAAGTTTACATACCTTTAACTTCCACTAACTATCTTAAAATTGTAATTATGTATATCACCCTAACATCTATGGGTCATGGGTCAATGCTGAGGTGGCAAATAAATAAATATTTTATTGTGACTGTTAGTCACCTGGACGGAAAAACTAACAGATGCCCAATTTAACAATATAAGTGGTACTAGATCCCCTATTCTAATTTAAGTGGTATACCTATTCCAATTTTGAAATTTAAGTGACACCCGAGGTGTTTTACCCTCAATAAGTATTAAGTTATACACCATTATAGTTATTTCAAACTTCAGTGGTAAGCTTGTTGAATGATCAAAGTTGAGTATCCAAATCTGTAATTTACTAGTAACGAAAATTTTGAAATGGCGGGGATAATTAAATATCCCGGACGCGACGCGCCCCTCTCCTCAACCTGCCCCTCCGAAAAAAGATCAATCCCTAAACCGAATTTTGGGATCCGCAGGAAACTGCCCTGCCCTCTCTCTCGTTCTTTCCTTCCTTCCTTCTCCCTTTCCCTTTCTCCACTCTTCAGTCTCCCAGAGAAAGCGAACGATACTTACTTTTACTGCAGCGTGCTCGAAAAGCCAACGGCCCATTTAGGCAAAAGGCGCGCAAAGCCGAGCGAGCGACTCTCTGATTCCTCACCCCCTTCCTTCGTCGCTGTCAGCTTTTCTTTCCCAGTTCAGTTCCAAACCCGCTCAATCGCTACTCTTATGGTGAGCCATTTCTCTATCCTTCCAGGTGTTGTATTCTGTCATTTGGGCTCTTTATCCTGTTTCGTTTTTGTTCCTCTGAGTGGATTATCGCGATTCCTGCCTAGTCGAGCTGTAAATTTTCTTAGGAACGATCGATTTAGCTGTGCATGTCGGTTTTATTTATGTTGAGGGTTCTTTCTGAATATGCCTATACAATATTAGTGATTGAGCTTTTATTTTGATAAACTACTGGTGATAATTTGGGTTTATCGTATAAGGCGTGCGTTATTCATAAAAAAAAAAGTTGGGATTGTTGAAGTGGTTTTAGCCTAAAAAACTTTTAGGTTGTGAGTTTGGTTGACTTCAGTTGAGATTTAGTTAAGTATGGCAGGTAAATGAATGTTGGAAGGACTCATGGTTAGTCTTCCTTATGCCATCATGCAAAATGCTCAGTGTTTTCCTTTGGCATGCTTGTGGCTGTGGTGGTGTTTTGGATTTTGATGTTGGAAGTTGGGCAAATTTTAACCTTGTTGTTGTGATCTTGTTTTTATTCTTTTTGGGTTTTCTTTGGTTTTCCTTGTTCCAGTTTGTGTATTTGAGTTGCATGTGGTGGATTTTCCATGGAAACAGAGGTCGGAGTTGAGGGGAATGGAGGAAGGATGCTTCTTGAGGACGGCGAAGTCGAGAAAATGTGCTCTCCTTCGGCCCCATCTCAGCAGATTCCGAATCCCATTGTGTACAAGCTTGTCAGGGTATGTTCTGAGATAATGTTTTTTCTTTCATTTTTGGGATAAAGATCTTTTTTTGGAGTACTTCACTGAGCATTCATGGCCAAGCATTTCCTTGTGCCTTTTTCGGTATGTCCTACATTAAATGGGTTCATGTGCATGTGGTTTTGCTTCTGATTTTGATGACTAAGGTTGAAGGAGATGGGAGATTAGTACCAGCAACAGATGATGAAGTTATGGATGTAGCTGAGTTGTTTCTGGATGACAACATTGACACAGATTTCATAGACACTGAGCAGAGTTTAGGATGCATCTCTGGTGATGAAATACATCAACTAGAAAGCTTGGGAGGTTTGTGCTCCATTTCTGTTTTATCTAGACATGATCCTTCAGAGCGTTTCAGAATATTGATGTAATGAAGAAGAATTTTGGTGTTTGTTCACGGTGTGCCTGCAATTTTGTACCCTGTTGATGTTGTTTGAATTTATAATGTCCTATTACTGAACCTTCTTTTTCAAATTCATGCTTTTCAATTATGCTATGATACCCTTTTACTTGGCAATTGCGGCAAACTTTTCACCTTTAGTTGCATTTTCTGAGAAATGATTTCTCCCTTTATGAGGAACTCTTGACAAAGCATCTCTTTATCCTCCTAAACCTTTGACTTAATTAAATATGAGTCTGGAATCTTTCTGAATGTTGGATCTTCAATGTGTGCCAGGTTTTTTGCAAGCTGATAAACTGGATGTTGTTCCAGAAATAATGAATGCACAGCTTCAGGTATTAAGCATTCTTTTTAACATTAGTATTTTTTTCTCCCACTTGAATGATGCAAAACTTTTCTGAATCAGATTAATGGGTAAACTATTGAAAGTCTGCCTGATTCGTTCTTGTTGTTCTTTGTTAGCTGAAATATTATAACCAAGGGATATTGCATAGGAACTATGCGTAGCATGTGAACATCCTGATTTTTTCTCTGCATAGACGATTGTGTTCTGGTCGGCATGATATAATGATTTGTACTGATTAAAACTGCTATGCACTTTCCTTGCAGGAACCTTTCTCTGAGTTGGCTCCAGATTTTTGTGAAAGTCTCATGACTGAATGTGGGAGTGCAGGGGATTGTCCAGATGCTCTGGTTAAGTTGAGTGAGGATGGACCGTCAAGTCCTGTTGCTTCTTCCATACCTGACTTCTCCAAGATAAAGGGAGAAATATGCTTGGACAATTTATCTATCAGAGAACTTCATGATACTTTTAAGGCAACTTTTGGGAGAGAAACTTCTGTCAAGGATAAGCAGTGGCTTAAGAGAAGGATTGCCATGGGTTTGACTAATTCTTGTGATGTTGCTTCAGCATCTAGTTTCACAATTAGAGATAACAAGTTGGTCGACAACAATGTAAGTTGCCAGAATGTGGGTGCGGTTATCAGAAGTGATCAACCACATGAAGCAAGCAGTGGTGAAGACAGACAATTACAGATTATACAAAGTAGTGAACATATTGATCAACCAGTATTTTGTGACAAAAGGTGGAGGGACAGTGGCACATCTGAAAACCCAAGAGAGACATATGATAACACAGAGGAGAGGGCTGCTAAACGAGTTCGGAAGCCCACGAAAAGATATATCGAGGAACTTTCGGAGACGGAATCCAAGGAAGCCATTGGTAGACTACTAGCTGTGTCTCCAAGTTCCAGACCTGGTCAACCATCCCCAAACAGTCACACGAGGCTTGCGAGAAATGATTCTTTGGGCAGTAGGACTGTGGTTATAAGGTCGGATTCCCTTGGAGGTTGTGAGATTCAGATTCCATGTGTTTGTCGAGTTCGCAGGAGCCGACCAAGGAAAAACTTCTCGACCCTTCTGGTGAGTAAAACTATTTACGTGTCAACACTTAATTATTTAGGTGATAAGCACTAAGAAGAATGAAGTTGATCATTATGTGGTCCTGCATGCTTTCCTTTTGCTTTTTTATGAATCCCTTTGGTTTTTAATAGTTGTGAACAAGTGGAACCCAAATGATGTAATCTCTTTGTATTCACTTCATGAAAAGGAAGCCAGCTCACAAGTTATAACTCTGGAAAGATGGTCAATTTATGTGTATCAGTTATGTGTTAGTTGCCCTTGTTTATCCTCTTGGTTTATTTTATTCTTATTAAGCATTTTGGTAAAGAGCAACCTAAATTTCTGCAGAGATTTAATGGCCTTGATGTGATAACAACTGTGGTAAAGAAGACCTTCGAAGTAGACGATGCTCCACCAGATGACGAGAATGCAAACATTGTAACAAAAGCCGAATCAACCCCTGAACAGTCTCAACCGCTGGTAAGTAACTCTCGCTCCTCATATTAGATGAAACACGGATAATATATAACAATAATAAATAAATATGAAAAGTAGGAATCTGATACCATTGGAAAAAAATGACAGATAATAGAAGGAAAAGTACAAACAATTGACACTTGCCGCCCATCGGGCAGGCGCACAACTAATATTACATTATGTTTGTTTGCTTATTTTGATCATTTCATCACGAGCAAGGTTACAAAGTGACATGACTTTGACAGTAAACACCCCCATAGTTGAGGGGCCAAGTTGTCACAAAACTCTATTAATAATGATGCCTACTCCAAACAAACCAGCACATTGCCCTTTATTCAGTGAGAACTTGTCAATGCATCTGTACTTTTGATCATGTGAATCTTTTCTGTTTCTAGCTTGTAGATGTACCATATAAAGAGAACCAGTTGACCGTGGTTGGAACAGCGGTTGGTGTGGAGCCAAAACACGGAGATTCTTCTGGGGATTCAGATGATAACATAGCCACTGTGCCCACCACTAAAGGTGGATTCCGAAGGAAGCATCATCGAGCATGGACTCTTTCAGAGGTTATCAAGCTTGTAGAAGGTGTTTCAAAGTTTGGAGCTGGGAGGTGGTCCGAGATCAAACGCCTCTCGTTTGCATCGTATTCATACCGCACCTCAGTTGATCTCAAAGTATGTTAACTTTGCTAATTTCCATGCTTCCAGATTCATAAAAAGAAAGAAAGAAAGAGAAAAAGAACCATATAGCTTCTCTTACCGTGCTAGTTATCGCCATTGATGGAAACAGTAGGTTTTTCAAACTCAAAATCCTCCAACAACCAGAAACTTTATTTTTCAGGATAAATGGAGAAATCTTCTCAAGGCTAGCTTTGCACCGCCAGATAAAGGAGTAAGTTCTTTTTATCTTCTTTCCAGACCTTCAACGCCGAGGCTGTAGCCTGTAGGCTGTACCGTAGCTCCCTAAACACTGCCTGTTATCTGTCAATGTAGGTAGGCCCAAGGAAGAATGCAGCCACGACACCCATCCCTCCAACGATACTGTTGAGAGTGAGGGAGCTGGCCGAGATGCAGTCACTTGTCCGACCAGGCAGCAAAGTGGTTGGAAGTGTCCCGGGTGACAATGGTCTCGAACGGCAACCCGGGTACCTGTGACCAAACTGTAAACCAGTAGCTAGTAGGATTCTTAACCTTAGCACTGCATAAATAAGCTGCGGAAATATGTAGTTTGTTTGGTCTTTGTTCTTGCTTGGGGAATGAATCCCAACTTTTTGCACCATGTTTTGTCAAGATGAAGCTTGTTGGCGGGTGTATTATATCCAAGTTGAGCTGAAATAGCCGACGACTGACTAGGTAAGAGAAGATATGAAGGCAGAGATACGATTATATATCATATGATCCCAAATTAGATATGGATAATTTTTTCCACCTGAGGGGGTTGAGAGCTAAGAGCAAGTTTCTTGAATCAGCCCTTGTAGGCTGTAGCAGTATTATTTTGAACCCATTTCCAAATTACGAGCAAATCATTAGTCTTTCATGATTAATTGCACAGTGAGTTTGTTGTTGGCATGGTTCGAGGTATATAGTCGCGAGAAGAAAATAGGTTAGTATGATGTGGTTTCACAATGGTGGCATATCTATTTACACTTATGGCATTCGTTCTCGAGACTCGAGTTTAAAGTTTAAACTATGTCGAACGAACCGAAGAGTCTAAACTTTAAACTTTAACTTGGGCAATAGCTCTCTCATTGCAAATGTGTGTACAAAGTAGTAAATCGATTTATCACGAAATGAACTAAATTCTGACGAGCATGATGGTAAACTGCTAATCACATAGTTAAGGCCCCTGGAGTGGTCATGATCATGATTAACTAGCAATGATTAAGCCATTAAATGGGCTCTATATTCATTCTTAGATGTTCTCCCCATGGAGGGAAGGAAAGATGGACATATGGGCTCGACGAGTAAAATGGGCCACCGTAGAAGGCCCAGAACTTCAATTCGTTCTTTCCACGGCCGTCCTTCTTGCTTCTCTAATGTTACATTTTTCTCTTCCGTCCTCTCCATACAAAAAATCTCAGCTTGGTGGATTGCCCCGCTGCTCAGTTCCGGTGATTTCCTCCGGCAACCCTGAATCGTCTTTTGCTTCTATTCTCCCTATTCCCTCGCTTACAGATCAGTGTGATGCCGGAAAAAGCTACCGCTGCTTAAAGTTATTTCTTCTTTCTAGAAAGCTGAATTGGCTTGCGGCGGCGGCTCATGTCGTTGGGGGGGGAAATTTTATCATTGTTTGGGGGCTTGACGGTCCTGATGCTCAGCATTGAACTTCGATTCTTCTGTATAAAGCTTCAATTTTGAACTGATTCCGCTCCTTTCTGTTGTATTTTTGTATAGAGCTGTAAGTCCCCAATTCTTCATCCGGTGGGTTCTGGGTAGCTTCAGAGGGTTTTGTGTGGAACCTGAACTTGAGGCAAAATGGGGATCATCGAGAAGATTAAGGAAATCGAGTTCGAGATGGCTCGAACTCAGAAGAATAAAGCCACAGGTGCCTCTGCTTTTTCTCACTTCTTCCTTTCCTCCGTGGGTTGATTTGAATTGGTTCTTTCATTCACACAGTAGTTTATGAGTTCGTTTTCCAACCAAGTTCTTTGGGTAGCTCTTTGTGTCTCTTAATATGTTGTTTGGTTGCTAATTGATTGATTTTACAGAGTACCATCTTGGTCAGCTTAAGGCGAAGATCGCAAAGCTTAGGACACAGTTGTTGGAGCCTCCAAAAGTATGCATGGCCTGACGACCATTTTTCATCGCACTTTTATTTTAAGATTTCACTCCTTATCTAATTAGGGCTGGAGGATGATTTGATATCCCATGTGTTCTGTATCAGGGATCTAGTGGAGGTGGGGATGGTTTTGAAGTTACTAAATTTGGTCATGGTCGAGTTGCACTTATCGGGTTTCCAAGGTGAGCTACCATCGAAAGGGTTTTTATGAGGCAGATTAGACAAAAATGTTGTGCATGCATACATCTTTTTGGCCTTGTTAAAACAATCTCAATTGGGAATGGTTATTATCAACATGTTGCAGAATCATAGAAAAGATAAGAAAAGATTCCTCATGTTCTTTATATGATGATGACAATGAATGAACGTTGTGCTCCTTTTCATGATTGTAGTGTGGGGAAGTCGACTCTTTTAACTATGTTGACGGGAACCCAGTCGGAAGCTGCATCATATGAGTTCACAACACTTACCTGTATTCCCGGCATCATACACTACAATGACACAAAAATTCAGTTGCTTGATCTTCCTGGAATCATTGAAGGTGCTTCAGAAGGCAAAGGACGTGGAAGGCAGGTAAACTTGTTGCAGTCCTAGGTGTTTTGCAGTTGTATGTCATAGTTGGGATTTGATGATTGCAGGATTGGTTCATAAATTGTGCTTGTTTCAGGTTATTGCTGTTGCAAAGTCTTCGGACATAGTTTTGATGGTTCTTGATGCTTCCAAAGTAAGACCAACTTTGTTACTTCCTGCTCAAATTATACTTTCTTCTTGCAGTGCATATAAACACACGACCTTAATTTATTTGCTTTTGGGTGGTCATTCACTATTGTTGCAGAGTGAGGGTCATCGTCAAATATTGACAAAGGAACTGGAAGCCGTCGGTTTGCGTTTAAACAAGCGACCCCCTCAAGTAAGGATTACTTGATCAGCCATGCTGGTTTTCCTTTTAAAACATTAATTAATGGACATTCACTGAAAGATGTCCGGTTGTCAAAGATGAGCCATCAGTTTGGTTCAACAGCTATTGATGATGTTTTTCTTTTATGCAGATTTATTTCAAGAAGAAAAAAACTGGTGGAATCTCTTTCAATAGTACTATGCCCTTAACCCATGTTGATGAAAAGCTCTGTTACCAGATTCTACATGAGTACAAGATTCACAATGCAGAGGTATTCTTTTATTGATTATAGGAACGAAACAATTTTAGTTTCCAATGATCATCTGTGGTACTCTGCCTTTATTGGTACCATTGCAGTGAATGTGGGGCTATAGGCAACAATGGATGACTCCGACTGACATAAGCTTGCTTCATTTTATATCTCTTGCTCCTATGCTTTTAAGCTAATCCACAGTCCTTTACCCTCACGCAACGAACCTGGCAACTTCGTTGAATGTTGGATGTTATAACTGTTCCCCTCCAGTGTGTCTCACTTGTTTAGGATTTGACTGCAGATCCTATTTCGTGAGGATGCCACAGTGGATGATTTTATAGATGTCATCGAGGGTAATCGTAAATACATGAAGTGTGTGTATGTCTACAACAAGATAGATGTTATCGGTATTGATGACGTTGACAATTTAGCTCGGCAGCCCAATTCTGTTGTCATCAGCTGCAATTTGAGGGTAATTTATGTGTATCTATCATGTTGATATGGCATGGTAACACAATATGAAGATGGGAGTCGAAGTAGTAATTTTCTTTCCTATGCATCCATGTTGTACAGCTCAACTTTGACAGACTGCTTGCAAAGATGTGGGAAGAAATGGGGCTTGTGAGAGTCTACACAAAGCCACAAGGCCAGCAACCCGATTTTGGTGATCCAGTGGTTCTGTCAGTTGTATGTAACGCAAATTCACTCTACTTTTGGACAGATGCAATGTTGGTACTTGTTGGAGTTTCGTCTAATTTTGGGACTACGATTTGTGTGCCACAGGACAGAGGAGGGTGCTCGGTTGAGGACTTTTGTAATCACATCCACAGAAGTTTAGTCAAGGATGTGAAATACGTGCTGGTATGGGGCATTAGTGCACGGCATTACCCACAGCACTGTGGTCTTGCTCACGCTCTTCACGACGAGGATGTCGTCCAAGTTGTTAAGAAAAAGGTAGTCTTTGTTCCAAGAGTTTTTTTTTTTTTGCCTGTTATAGTTGTTTGTTCCAATGCCCGAGAACAATGTTTGATTTTTCCTCTTTGATTTGGTTTTTCAGGAAGGGAATGAAGGAGCAAGAGGTCGTTTTAAGTCGCATTCTGATGCTCCTGCTCGAATATCCGACAGACAAAAGAAGGCGCCTTTGAAGCAGTGAACAATGATCGAGAGACAAGCCCCCTGGGAGACTAGTTGCCTCGAATTAAGACCGAGTTAGTGGCAGCACTGCACTTGTTTTATTTTGTATCAGAATCTTGGCGAGGAGTGCTTTGCTCATGTTTTATGGTCGCATGAATCAAGAGGACTTGCCTCAATTTTAGAGGACGTACATTTGAAATTTTGGCCACCAATGGTGGCTGGTGGGTGCTCGAGTCATATACACCTATTTTACAGATGAACGAGGCACGATCTGTTGCAGAATCTATTTGGGTTCTTGCTTTTTTTCGTTGTCCTGCTATGCTCATTTTCCTTCCTCATGAGTCATGAGTGCTGTATTTAGCTACATACTCAGAACTCAGAAGGCCGAAGTAACAATCTTCCTTCCGAAAAAAAAAAGCTATCAATCGTCTCTTTCTCCACCAACTGGTTAATTGAGAACCGGGTGAGCCTTATCCGTTTCAGTGAAATATTTCTTGACAAAATAAAATAGTTGGCGGTGAGAAAGCAAAAAAGAGAGCTCAGCTGTAACCAATTTCATCTGAAGCAGATAAGTGAATGGACCAACCATCACAAAGTCACTGTTAACCTCACAGCTCTCTGTGCACCAGCCGGGAATCGAACCCGGGTCTGTACCGTGGCAAGGTACTATTCTACCACTAGACCACTGGTGCTTGATATTGTATTTTGCCTTTCAAACTTACTTCAATAATCATCTTGATTATGAACCACTAACCCTTGTCAGCTCTCTACGGTGAATCATCTAGAGATCGTTGTCCGTAAGATAGGAGCTTGACATGGTGTGTTCTTGAATTCAACTTCTGCCGCTTATCATCTTGAAATTTTCTCTGGTTTATTAGACACCGAAAAAAGACTACAAACTTGCCTTTCTCTGTCAGATAGTTGAAATCATCGTATATTCTTGTCTCTCTCCCAACGAAACAACTACCAAAAGTTTACTGCAATAAAAATGTACACATCTTTTTGTCTACCAAGAACTTTAGTTACTCCTTCCTTGCTTTGCATTGGCTCATAATAAAAAGAGATCGAATAGGACCTTTTGTGTCAAATCTACCGGTGGTTAGCTTGGGACTGATCCGTCGTGCTCTTGGAACTATGATGCAAAATCCTGAGATACTGGAGGTAAGTAAGCAGCCTCTCACTGTTGTTTCATGGAACATTGATGTTTTTTTTTTTTTTTGGTTCGGTTTCGGTTTACAGAGTTGCAGAAGATTGTTGGAGTTGATGATCTTCCCTGGCCACCTCAATGGACAATGTGAGATAGATGCATCAGTCAAACAGCAACTGCGCCTCCTGTTCTATTGGGAAGCTTGCTTCGGAGCAACCTCAGCCAGCCAAAAACCTGTTTACAGAAACCATTTGCAGTTATCTATAATTTCAGCTGAACAGGTCAATGTAATTCTGCCCGTTCAGTCTGGATAACAGAGAAATACATTCTGGTAGCCATTTGACAAACTAATCCACCTCTGCCATTTACAATTTATTCTCTAAACTTTTCAAACATTAGCCATTATAACTTAACTTATGGATCCACGAACCTATCCTTAACACAACCTACGAACCCATGCACCCATGGATCTAATAACGCAACCATTCGCCACCACCTGTTCAGCATTTTGACGATGGTCATCAACCTGAAATCCAGCTACATCCAGGGGATCTCTTCGTCCCTTTTCCACTTATCATCTTCCTCACCTTCTCAGAAGCTTGCCAATCACTATTCGAAGCGTAGCCACTAGCCAAAACAACCTGATTCCCGGGGTCTTCAGGATCCATCTCCCCCAGTTTCCTGGCTGCCATTTCACCCATTTCTACATCACCATGAAGCCTACAAGCTGCATGGAAAGCACCCCAGATTCCTGGATCATTGGCCAACTCCACATTCTCCATTACAAGATTGTAAGCTCTTTCGAGTTGCCCAGCTCTGCCCAAAAGATCCACCATGCAAGTCACGTGCTCAGCCAGAGGCCTGATCCCGAACACAGAAGTCATGAGCTCGAAGCTCTCGCATCCTTCCTTGACGAGACCTCCATGGCTGCAGGCATTGAGAATGCTGATAAAGGTAACCTCATTCGGCCTCAGCCCTTCATTTTGCATTTGTTGGAACATGCTCAGAGCTTCCTGAGACTGGCCATGGTCTGCCAAGGCTGTGATCATTGTGCTGTAAGTGATTACGTCTCTCTCCTTCATTGCATTGAATTCTTTCCGGGCTAAGTCCAAGGAACCGCATTTTGCGTGCATGTGGATTAGAGCATTCCACACGAACACCCCTCGTCCTGTCGATGAACAAGAGGCAAGGTAGTCAAACTATATATTATCAGAACAGAGAAGCATGACATTCCACGGAAAATAGCTTTCACATTAAATCAGGCTATATATGGTCGAGCAAACTCGTAAAAGCGTCAGTTTTTACGAGTTTCAACTCGGCATTTTGACAACAGTGTCATCAGCTGGAAAGAAGTTACAAAACTTACCACGACATAGTCGGCCAACATCTGCAGCCAATGTGGTGGCCAATTCAGCATCTCCAAGCTGAGTACAAGCAGAAAGAGCTCCTACAATAGCGACATCACTGATTTTAACTTCTCTTGCTCTCATCTCCATGTACATATCAATAGCTTCCTTAGCACATCCATTTTGTGCATAACACGCCACCATTGCAGCCCAACAGGAAGCATCTTCCGTCTCTCGTACACAATCAAACACACTTCTAGCCTCCTTCACATCACCACACTTGCCATATCCTGCTATCATTGCCACCCAAGTAACCGAGTTCTTCTCGCCCATCTCATCGTACAGCTCTCTAGCTGCTCGCATGTCACCACAGTTTGCATAGCCAGCCACCATCGCAGTCCAGGAAACCACATTATGCTCCTTCATGGTATTACACAAAAGCCGTGCCTCACTCATCCTGCTCATTTTGGTGTAGCCGCAGATCATAGTAGTAAAAGCAACTAAATCCTTGTGGACCATTGCATCGAAGATGCTTCGAGCGTCATCGAGAAAGCCACATTTCGCATACATATCGAGCAATGTAGTTTCGACTATCTTGTTGTTCGGAAGAAGACCGGACTGGATCAGCCTTTTGTGCACTTGCTTGCCTTCCAAGATAGCGGGAAGTCGAGCACACGCATTGAGCACCGAAGAGAAGGTGAAACGAGAAGGAGGGACTCCCGTGCGATGCATTTCGGCGTACAAGACGATGGCTTGAGTGCAACGAGCGTGACGGACATGGTAACGTATGACGGACGTCCAGAGGAACTGGTCTGTGCACTGGGGTATTTCGTCGAACAGTTGGCGTGCATACGCGTCGTTGCGCCCGGGTAATTCCAAGAGTGCGGTGACGAAACGAGGAAGAAGCTGGCGTTTGAGGGGCTTGCTGAGGGTTTTCAGGAAGAGGGTATGGACTTCTTGGAGGTGGTTTACAGTTGTGCATAACTGGAGGAATTTGGTGATCACTGCTCCTGTTTCCATGATGAAGAAGAGGTAAATGCTTTGGCCTCACGGAACCAATCTGTAGATAAAATGGTATCTATCTAACTCAATAGTATGTAGATACGAATCCATGTAGTCAGTAGGTTAGATATATGCTTGGAGAGAAATCAGTAGAGAAAAAGCTTGCACCTTTATATCTCTATCTGAAGCGGTCATGAAATAGAAGCTGTAGGAATTAAATAAACACAGGTTTTTCTCAGTGTTATTAAAGCCGAGCGGAGCCACTCGGCCCGGCCGGTAAAACCGTCACCCGGTCACAAAATCGACTCGAAACAGTCTAAAAGTCATTCCGGTTTTATGTAGCAGTTGGCGAGCGGCCGAGGCGATTAATCATTCGAGCCGATCGAGCCGCTCGTCCGGTTTTTGCCATTCAGCCACTAAATTTAATTAAAAAAATTGCAGAAAATTGAAAATTGAAATAAACCAAAAACGTCTGTTGATATGACTTGAATCGGACTATCAGCCGCTACGACTGGTAATCGGCTTCAATGTTATTTGGGTTCGGGTTCTGGGCCTGGTCTGTAACCGTTTCCTTTGCCAGATTGGATTAGGTTTAGACCCACATAGAGAAGTACTATAAATACTTCTCATACTCCTCTGTAATTAGGGATGGCAAAAATATCCGTAACCGTGGATACCCACCCGAATCCGACCTAATCGGATAGGGTAAAACCCGAACCCGAAGCATTTTGTGGGTACGGGTAAAACCCGAACCCGAATGTTGCGGGTAATGGGTGGGCATGGTTATCTCACTATCCAACCCGAACCCGCCCGATTATACACATGCATATGTATTTTGTCTAGAAATAATCATTATTTTGCTCTAGAATATTTTATATTTAGCATATAAATATAATATTTTCATGAAATTATGTTGTTTTAATTAATTTTCGTCATTCTAGTGAATTATTGTCGTACTTTTCCTCTTACGTAATGTGAGTATACGTGTGAATGTTAACATATTGGTTGGAATTATAAGGATAAATTATTATCCATGGATAACCGTGGATACCCGAAACCCGAACGGGTATGGGCATGGTTTTGATTTTCTACCCGCTTCTCGTATGGGTACGGGTATGGGTAAAACCCGAACTACATTGGGTAGGGTAACGGATATGCACTATCCGCCCCCGACCCGACCCATTGCCATCCCTATCTGTAATCTCCTCGATATAGTGAAACTGGCTCTCTCTCGCCCGTGGACTAGCTAACACACATCGTGTTAGTGAACCACGTAAATCGTGTGTTTGTGTTTTTCGATTCTCGCTTTCGTATTCTTGCTTTGTCGATTCCGACGATTTCCCGATCCGTAGCAGCGCGTTTATAACAACGTCGGGCTCTCAAACTGAATCCTTATTTCCTTTTCACAATTTCGAAGGAAAGAGATGAGCTCTAATTAAGAAATGTCTACTATTTATACTGATAACGTTTATTAGGTACAAGTTCTCTAACGATTTTAAACGGTCTATTGCCGGTTGGACCACTAAAGTGCGAGCCGTTCGCATTACCGGGTCATGCTTCGGTTCGGTTCTGACAATCTTGAATTTTAAAATATTTAGAAATTCTTAAAATTATCCTTATAATACAATTTTCGACATTTTGGCTAAGATCAAGTGCGTAAAATTAAATTATCCTCATAAGATCGCATTCTTGTAGATGTAGCCATAAGATTAAACATCTCAATCTACTTTAGTATTACCATTTCATGATCTTGTTCGATGTGACCTTCAATATGTTTTCATTTTTCAACCAACCATGATAACGTAAATAAGAGAAATTTAGGCACTTTTGGCAGATAGGCGATAGAAAAAATTGAATTTTTACTGCTCGTTTTGGTAGTTTATTATGTACAACTGGTAAATCATGTGAAGACATAATTAATCAGGAACCATTGAATTGCTTGAGAATTGAGGTAGATGAAGAACAAAGCTTTCTTCCACCTGTCCTTTTAGCTGAGCAGCTTCTTTTTGTATGTTGTTTTCTTTGTCTAGCTCCTCAGCATGAACCTGATCTTTCAAGTTCAACCCCAGTCTTATTGTTCACATCCAGTGAGGTATTAGCTTCTCATCGAGTCTCACTTTTATTCTTCCTCTTCTTCCACGGAGACTTCGTCTGGTCGGAGATTTGGTGAAGAACTGGTGTGCAAACGACGAAGGTTTCTGTAACCACTCCAATAATCTGAATCACCTGTTGCATCTCCAGGTCCATTATCATCATCGTAGTCATCATGTGTTTTGAGATGCAGATTACAACCTTGATCCTGTTAGGAAAATGAGTGATGGCATGAATGGCCTTTGCTGACTGCGTGTAAACAGGCAAAACTAAGTGCAAGATCAACAATGTGTTATCTTACCTCAGGTTCGGGCTCGGATTGAGATTCCAATTTATTCTGCACTGTGTACTGGAAGCTGGTTTCGTCATCGATGGTCTGCATTCTGCCATCTACTTCACCTCCACTACCATCAAGATCGCTGTCACTCTCATATGACTCAAGATATGCTTCACCTCCTAATTCCTCGATATCATCGGATTCATCATCATCATCATCAGTTGGATACTCGGAATCTAATTTGTCGTACAGCTGCTCATCTCCATTGTCTTTTACAATGTCCATTCGTTCCTGTGAGATAATAAGTAGTTCAAATTTATCGGGGTCACCTGGAAGCAGGGCTTCAATAAATGGTATTGAAAGGTAAGGGCCGCCAGATAGAGTAAGTCTTACAATTTCAGCTCGCAAAGTCTCCACCTTTGTGTATAGAGCCGAAACATGCTTCAGTAGAGCCTGTTTACAAAGCAAAGTGGTACAAATTAAGTTCAAAATGATACAACCCAGAAAGTTTCAGAAGCCTAAAGGATTTTGTAGTGTTTTACCTCACGCCTCTGGATCTCGATCGAACGAGCCAGAGCCTTTCGCTTGGTCAATAGATTCCCTGGTCTCAATGAGGAAGGTCGCTTATAGTCGTTGCCGCGGTATACGATTATAGCGTATCCTTTGGAGACTCTATCAACTGAAACTAGGACACCTCCACTTTCAGCTTCTAGTGCTAGTGCAATTTTCTTGACATCCTCAAAATTCTTAGCCTTCAACATAATCTTCACCAATTCGCGGTATTTCCAGTGCAAGTGCATGTTCTCCACTGTTCCATCGAAAATCCCACGTCTTCCTGAATCGAAAGAGAAAAAGACATGAGCAAAAGCTCTTCTGCTCGAAAACTTCGAATGAAACAATATTGTGCCATTACCTAGAAGAAGGAAAGCTTTCATCTTCAAACCAAGCTTGCGGAACATGAATCGCTCCTCATCTGATATACTTTCTGGATCTGCCTGTCTATCAGATGGTTTCAGATAGCCTTCCACCTTTGTCAAGGTTTGTTCAGCCTTCGTCAGCCTCTTCTCAGCCTGGAAACAAAATTTGCCAAGGGTTTGAGCTGAGAGAGCCTCAACTTAATTCATCGTGATATGTTCAATTGACATGAGAACACTTTGAAGGTTTAGCATACATGAATATGCTTAGCGAATCCACAAGATATGTAGAGCCAAAACCGATGTTCTAAAGTATCGGGCACTTACAAATTTGAGCTTCCTTTCAAGCTTCCTGACAATGGTGGTATGCCTCTCTAATTCACCCTGTCTCCTTATTTTTTCCTTATGCTGATCATCCAACCTTTTTCCCCACCTTGCATGTGCATTCAAAGTCTCCTCGAGGGTGCCAGCAGTTCCTGCCACTAGCTCTCCTGCATCAGAACTTGGTATTACAAAGGCTGATGCTCTTAATCGCGCTTGCTCCTCTTCGTCTTGTAACGATTTCGCCAGCATCTCTCGTTCTAGCAACGCTTCGGTGACATCTGGTGATAGAAAGTTCTTTCCCCTATAGAAAACTAGAAAGTCCTTGTTTCTCGAAAGCAGTATGCCCCCTGTCAGTTTCTGCAGCCAATGACAAGAGAGCATTAGCAGCATTTTCAGGTAACTAACAGCATCGTTTGCTTATAATAGATTTGCTAAAATAACGATTCTACAAGTAAAAATTGTATGCGTTTACGAGCTTGCCTATTTAATTTTAATCTTGATTTCACAAATAAATAAGTTCACCTTTAAAAAAAGAGTAAAACAATTAAGATCTCCCAAAACTGGTAAAATCAAACCCTTATACCAATCCATCAATTTAGGGCGGCAGGGTCAGGCATAGATTAATTTGGTAGGGTTAACTCCGAACAGCACTGCTGCATTGTGAGTAAAAAGTCATCCTTTTTCCACTAGCTTGATTAGTGATCACCATTATGTTTTCATTAAGATTTCAAACGAGTTTCTTTTGTACATGTATGGTTGACTTTTCACGTAGTTTATCTGCATAAATGTTTTACGTAGATATTAAATATGACTACCAGATATTACGTTTCTTGTTAATGTGAGATCTTTCTTAGTTACTCACTGCTCAAGGGTGGCTATATTAGAGGTTTTAAGTAATTAATCACTGTTTTGCATATTAAAAGGCCCATAACATATATTTGTTTACCTTAATCTCTTCAGCCATCCTTTCACTGGTGGTTAGCTGCACGCCACGCTTCAGAGCTATCTTTGCGATTGAACTCTTCTCCCATAATTTGATCATGGCCACAGCCAAGCCCTGGAGGTTCCTGTTTCTGCCTGAAACATCAATCTCTCAAACAATGACATCAGCAGAAAAACAAAAACCAACTCTAACCAGCAGAAACAAAACAATAAACATGACTACCTAGAGCAAAATGCGGGGGAAGAAACCGGGCAAGTCTACGTAAGGAAGTAGCCTCCTTATGTCCAAGTGAAGATCTGACTCCATAAGGAAGTATCCTGAAAGGAGGTTGATATCCAGCAACGATACCGGGAAGCATATCTGCGTCCACGGGCAATGGATCACATCCTGCCCACTCTGCGTACCTTGGACCAAGACCTTCCAACAGTTTGTCTATTTCTGTTTCGTAGCTTACTTCTGATGATGATATTTCTCTGCCTAGCTCCTTGTCCTCCTCAATGGGGAAATCTGAGGTCGGAGGAGACGCAGGAACTTCATTCTCAGTATGGGTTGAGGGGAAAGCAAGATGGTTACTGGAAACTGGTTGCAAGGGCTTTGTGGATTCTCTAGTTTTCGTTAAAATTCGTTTCTGTTGAAACCCAGGAACCTCATAGCTAACACCCCTATATAACGAGATTGAGGAGCCCGACCTCCAAATCACCATGCCACCAGTTTTTTTCTGATACATTTATATAGCAATCAGAGAGGATTATCAACCGAGATGCATTGTGAACATAACTAATTTTCAATCATAATCATAGAATAATGCATTCTGCAGATAGAGAAACACATTACTGAATGGAGAAGTTCGAGAAGGAAAGCCTACCTCAAGTATCTCATGCATCCGTCTCATGTTAAGAGCAGATGCTCCCTCTACTTTGATCTTCACAATTTCAGAAGATTTCCACTTCTCTCGAATGGCATCCACGATGGCCTGAGGAACTCCTGAGCCCTTAATCCTAGTCTTGCTCTTTGTTTGATAAGTCAAGTTCCTCAACCTCCTCAACTCTGACTGGGGCAATGTCAGCTCTGCAAACAATGTCCTGCTCTCCTTTTTAGCACTCCACTTCCCCTCCTCCTCGTCCTTTTTCGGCTTCTCCCATGGGAATCGAATCTCCCCATCGCTCGTCTTGAACACGCTCTCTATCCCTAAAGGCGATTCCTTCGAGAACCCACCTTGTGGATTTGGCAACATCCCTTCTTCTATGTAGAATATATCCTCCACACTTCCTTTCTCTATCACTCTCTCTCTAACTTTCTCAGTCTTCTCATCACTATCATCGCGATCATCACCATCATTGGCATACCCATGTTTCTTCAGTTTCTCCACAATCCTCTCCATAGTACTCCCCCTACCACCCCCACTCCCACCATTGTGATTTTCATCGCTAGCGTAATCTAAAGCAGCCTTGGGAGGCTTTGGTCGACTATCCTTTTTAGGTCTATTCCATTCCGACAACCAACCCCCACTGGAGAAATTCAACTTACTGGAACAATTATGCGGAGAAAGAGCCCCCCTCTTCGGTGGGTAGCTTCCGCCCAGCGAAGTGACACAGAAAGTGGGAGTCTTTGTGTAAATTGAGCAGGCGCTGTACCTGAAGAAATGCAGAGGAGTGGTCTGGTGAAATTTCGTCGAACAGATGGTGGGCACGAGAAACATCTTATCCAGACAATCTGATGGAGAAGCCGGTAGTAACAAAGTAAGGAATATGACGGAAGTTCGAAGGGTTCAGCGAAAAGCGTGTGGAATCGTTGCAGAGTTCTTCAAGTCCGAGACTCGCAGTTGGTCTACTACTACTGTGTTGCATAACTTCAGCTTGAGGAAGCGAAGTAGCATCGCAGGCTCGCAGCTTCCATGTACACGCTTTGAGCGTTCAAGTTTGGCGCTTTCTGAGAAATCTATCTATCCCTTTGTGGTGTTCTCGTTGTTTCGGTGAACTACTTGGCCTTTTTCGTCTTTCCCATATGAAAATGTAAGCTTTGCGATCATTGTAAACCCGTTGGCCCGGTTGATCAATGGGTTGAGTATTAATCATTTAATCGTCAGTGTAGTGTAAAATATCTCGGTATATTTAAGTTTGAGATTTGAATATTCCAAGAATTTCTATAAATTTTTTTTGAATAGGGTTTTCTTTTCGGAAACGCGGTCGCGTCGTAGGGTGGTGTCTCGTAGATTGCGTGGTCTTGGGTTTTCTGTTTTTCATTTAGTGGATGCTGTTGACTCTTCAGGAGGGTTAGCAGTAGCGTGGTCCCCTGAGAGCGGTGCCTCAGTGTTGTCGAGTTCTTCTTTCTTTATTTCGGTCGGTTTGGAAATTAATGGAATAAAAGTGGTGATTGTGTTTGTTTACATTAGTTGTCGTGATAACGAGCGTGATTTCCAGTTTGATGAGTTACGCAGATATTGTGAGGGATTACAAGAACCATACTTGATGGTAGGGGATTTTAACGGCATTTGCGTCTGACGAGAAAATGGGGGGAGTCCCTTGGGTCCCGGCTCATTCGCAACAGTTCCGTTCGTTTGTGGACGGGTTAGGACTTCACGATTTGGGGTTCCGCGGGAATCCTTTCACATGGTCTAATAGACGAATGGGGGCTGCGTGTATTCAGGAGCGGTTGGATAGAGCGTTTGCGTCGGATCGCTTGGCGGCGATTTTCCGGAGACGATGGTGAATCATGGAACGGATCTGGGGTCGGATCACAGGGGCTTAATTGTGTCGGACAAAGCCCACACAAGGGTGGCGAGGTCTCTCTTTCGCTTTGACGCACAGTGGGCGGAGAATCCGGAAGTGAAGCCTATGGTGGAGGAGGTTTGGGGCGAGCAGGTGCAGGGCTCTCCGATGTACCAATTGTGGACCCGGTTGAAGCGATTGCGACACAGGTTACATAGTTGGAGCAGAAAGGGTACCTCGAACTCTGCGAGGCAAATTCGGACTTTGGAGACCGAAATTGGTGCGCTAAAGGAGGAGTACCCTGTCGATTGGGATCGGGTCAATAGCCTGGAGCGGGAACTCACGATAAAATGGGCCGAAGAGGAGAAATACTGGTGTCAAAAGTCCAGGGTTCGATGGTTGAAGGTGGGGGATCAAAACTCCTCTTATTTTCACACTGTCACAAGAGCGCGGAGACGCCGGAATTTCGTAGAGAGATTACAGAATGAGGATGGTGATTGGGTGGTGGAAGAGGAGGACAAGGCTAACTTAGCTGTGGGATTTTACTCTCACCTGTTCACGACGGGAGCTGAGGAGACTGATATCTGGGACAAGGTAAATGCCTTGCCCATTGATCAGAAAGTCACATATGTGATGAACACTAGCCTCACAGCAGAAGTGACTCCGGAGGAGATTCGACGTACGGTCTTTTCTATAGGCTCTACGCAGGCTCCAGGTTCGGACGGGTTTACTGGCAAATTTTTTAAGAGCTTCTGGGACATTGTTGGGCCCTCGGTGATTGCAGCTGTACAATCATTCTTTGTGAATGGGCGTATCTTACGAAGTTTCAATCACGCGTGGCTAACGTTGATCCCCAAAGTGGATACGGTGGAAAACATGCGCCAGCTGCGACCAATTAGTCTTTGTCAAGTGGTCTATAAGATCATATCGAAAATTATGGCTGAAAGGATGGCGAGCTTTTTACCAGATATTGTTTCACCTGGTCAGAATGCTTTCATCCGGGAACGGCAAATTGTCGATAATGTTCTTATTGGTCATGAGATCATGCACTATTTGAAAATTAAGAAGAAAGGTAAGAAGGGGTACTTGGCTCTGAAGGTTGATATGGAAAAGGCCTATGATAGAGTAGAGTGGCCGTTCTTACTGGCGATCTTAAAGAAATTGGGTTTTAGCCCATTATGGATAAGTTGGATTAGGGAATGTGTTTCGTCTGCTAGTTTCTCGGTCATGATGAATGGGAGGCCTTCGGGTTTCTTCCGCTCCTCCAGGGGATTGAGGCAGGGTGACCCGTTGTCTCCATTACTCTTTGTCCTGTGTACGGAGGGTTTTGCAGCGTTGCTTCGCCAGGCAAGTGAGAGGCGAAAAATTGAAGGTATTCGTGTGAGCTCGAGGGCCCCGCGGGTATCTCATCTGTTTTTTGCGGATGACTCTTACTTGTTTATTAGAGCGTCGTCTCAAAGATGCAATGACCTCCTCAGTGTGTTGACAGAGTATGAGGCGCTGAGTGGACAGAAGGTGAATCTTTCTAAATCCGCTGTCTGCTTTAGTGCTAATGTCCTAGCAGAGGAGAGATCGGAAATGGCAGGGATACTGAGGGTAGGGGCGATTGGGACCCAAGATAAGTACTTGGAGCTTCCATCCCTAGTTGCTCGGTCAAAGGCAGAAACCTTCCGGTTCTTAGAGGAAAAGCTTCTGCAAAGGATTCAGGGTTGGAAGCAGAAGCATTTATCCATGGCGGCTAAGGAGACCCTGCTAAAATCGGTAGCGACTGCTTTGCCGGTACATGCGATGGCGTGTTTCAAGATCCCAGCTACTTCGTGTAGGAAATTGGATGGGCATATGGCTCGGTTTTGGTGGGGGTTTGTTGAGGGGCGACCTAAAAGCCATTGGATATCATGGAAGAAGCTTTGTTGGAGTAAGCATGTGGGAGGATTGGGCTTCCGGCGCTTTGAGCTGTTCAATCAAGCCCTGTTGGCGAAAGTGGCTTGGCGCGTTCACTCGGAGCCGGATTCTTTGCTGGCGCAGATTTATAAAGCAAAGTATTTTCCGCAGGGGACTATATTCACGGCCTCGGCGCGATGTCGCCCTTCTTGGGGCTGGCAGGGCGTGCTCTTTGGATGCCAGCTACTTCGGCAGGGGACGACCTGATAGGTGGGATCCGGTGAGACTATTCCGTTAATGTCTGAGGGGTGGATTCCGGCGCTGCATCCTCCCCCCATGTCTTACGAGCAGATGCTCCTGTGGAGGGTACTGAGAGGGTCGCGGATTTGATAGATCCGGATACCGGGGAGTGGTGCCGGCATTGTTTAGATGAGGTTTTCACCCCGGCAACAGTCAGAGCTATTCTGCAGATCCCTCTTCCAAGAGAACCCATGCCGGATAGGCTTGTTTGGAGGGAGGATTCCTCGGGGAGATATACGGTGAAGTCCGGGTATCGATTGGCGGAGAGGCTTTCCCAAAAAACATGGGTGGGTAAGCCGGATTGTAGTACGATGGATCGGGGAATATGGATAAGAGTGTGGGGGTTACCAATTCAGCCTAAGCTCAAGTTTTTTGTGTGGGAAATCCTACAGAGAATTTTGCCAACTATGGAGGCATTGCGGGAGAAGAAGGTGTTGGTTCTTGCTCGATGCCCGGTTTGTTGGGCGAGCGAGGAGTCGACTGAACATCTCTTCTTGCATTGCCGAGTGGCGCGCGGGTTGTGGGAAGCGGCGGGGCTGGCCACTGAGTTGGACGCACTGCCCACTGGGAGTTTTAATATTTTTTTCCGACGATTCCTGGATCGCGATGCTTCGCCTTCCCGGGTTGTGCGGTTGGTTTGCTGTTTGTGGAGAATTTGGAAGGGTCGCAACTCGGTAGCATTTGACGGGATTCAGACCCTGCCATCTATTCTTCGACAGGAGTTCCTTTTTCAGGTGAATGAATGGCTTCAGGTTCCGCAAGAAGGGGGGAGAGGTGGTGCCTCACAGGTTCTGGCGCATAATGTGGGTGTTCCGGCTAGTCAGAGAGCTCCGTTCGGTACTATCTGTTCCTTTGATGGTGCAGTCCGGGAGGGGTCACATGCAGCTGGAGGGATGGTTCTGCGTGATGCGGCAGGGATGGTGTTGGCAGTACGGGGGGTATCTTACAGGGGTCTCCAAAGCCCAATGTTGGCGGAGTTATCTACGCTTCGGGATGCCATCAGGTGGTGCCAGCGCTGGGGATTGGAGACGGTTCTGCTGGAGGGAGATGCGAAGGTGGTTATTGATAAGGTCAACGCTGGGGGTGTTGCTGATGCTTCTGGGGGGGCCATTTTTGAGGAAATTCGGCATCTCCTTTCGGCAGTGCCAAGGTTCAGGATCATGTTTGTGGGTAGGGAGAACAATTGGGTAGCCCATCTGGTGGCTCAGAAAGCCCTGTCTTTGTTTCCTACGGATTGTAATGAGTTTGATTTTCATGCTTGGCTCCGATTGGAGCTTGGTCATATGTAACTTGGTTTTCTTGTTAATGCAAGTGATCGTTTCGTCAAAAAAAAAAAAAAAAGAATAGGGCGTTGGGTATCATTAAAGTCATAAAAATGTGCATCTGTCTAGTTTTTTATCCAACCCAAAATTTTAATTACTTTTTGGTACCCAAAACTTCTAAAAACATCCAAAATTATATTTTAACAAGTTTTTATCTAATATAGAAATTAAAAAACCTTCTAAACATAATATTACTTAAATGACTAATCAATATTGTCAATAAAATAGATAAATTAATAAAAATAATAAATAAATATAAAAAGAATAATAAATATATGGTAGCATCTTTGGTGCACTCACTTTTTTAGGTGCATTCAGTGCACTCGCTTCATAACAGTCATTTTAAACATGCGATTTATGTCAAAATGATGTCAATAATCACTTATGATGTGATGAACAATAACGCACATGAATTTGCACAAAAACCATTAAAGATTTTATTTAATTTGAAGAATTTAGAGTTTATAGATTTAGGGTTTACAATTTGGGGTTTAGAGATAGAACTCAAAATTGGAGGTCTAGGGCTTAGATTAATTCGCTAATTAGTTGTTATCATATGTTATATCATCATATTACACTAATTCTACAAATTAAAATTCAAAATCCGACACCTTAAGACTAGTTTTTGAGTTGGGTGCATTAAACGCACTCATTTTTGTGAGTGCACCAAAGTAGTGGAATCTCCGACTTCCTCGCCGCCTCTACTGAGCGCTCCGCCTGTCTCCCGCTGTCGCCACTATCTCCCTCCTCTCTGACTCTCGCTCTCTCGGAAGAATCTGCATAAGACGACAACCACCAATTCCTCTATCCGACTCTTGCCTCACCTGCTCCGCTCTCCGCCTTGATTTCCTACTTCCCTCTCCGTCTCTACTGACCGCTCTTTGCTCCGCCTCCAAGTCGAATCAACTGTGGATGGACTTTGCATGTCGGCGACCTCCTCTCTAAATAATTTGATTTTATTTTATTTTTAAAATTAATATGATAATCTTGTATTTTCAAAACAGTTTTTCGCAGAAGTTCCAAATCGAATGTTTTGCTTTTATGTTATACAAAAACGCTTTTCGACTTTTCAAAAGCCGAGCTATAGATGTGTTTGGTCCTACTTCACTTTTTGAACTCGAAAAACACTTTTAAAAACCGGGCCAAACATTGTACATATCCACTCCCGGTTTTGGCTCAAGATAGGGTGCATAACCAAATATGGACCCTTCATTTAGAAAATCTAGGTCTAAGGATGGAGAATTAAAGATCATTTTTATTTTTCCTAACTTTCTTAATCGGCTCATATCTTTTTCGTTTTAACTCGGATTTTAATTTTTTTTTGCACAGATGGAACGAGTTCATCGTGCTCTACAAAATGAGATATATTTTCAATATTTTTTGAGAAAAAAATTCTTGTCTCTCGGTACCAACTGCATACCATATGGTATCTTCTTCATTTTTAATTCATTTTTGAAAACATTTGCATAGAAGGGACGAGTTCATCATGATCTATTGGATCTACAAATTTCTGGGTGAACAAATTACAGGACAAAAAAATACCACACAATACCACCCTGGTATGAGGTGGTATCTTATGGTACACAATGTTAAAAGTCGTAAATGACAGTTAATATACTTCTACTATCATGTATTCAACCATCCTATAGTCTTGGTTTGTTCATACCACCATGGTACACTTTTCAAACCATAGGTATGCTCTTATTTCAATACCACTATACCAGTCAATACCATATGGTATAGACTGGTAAAAAATGACTCAATTTTTTTTTGTTTGAAAAATATATCAAAGTGGATATCATTTTGAAGTGCATAATTAATCTGGTCTAATTGTGCAAAAAAATTAAATTTTGACTTAAAACGAGTGAGAAATCGTCCGTCAAATACTAAAGAGAGGAAAATTAAAGGCTTTCCAGGAGAGAGATGCTGATGTCATGCTTCTGATGTGAACGAGTTACTTATGGTTACTCACCATAATGTTACTGAGGCATTGTTTGCACTTTTGGCTTTTTCTATCTTCTGGTCCAATCCACTTATGCCATTCACTTGTCGGCAAGCGGAGCAAGTTCCCCAACTCCATTTTCTCGCTTCTCGGCGGCATAGGTTTCCCGCCACAAAAAGGGAGAAGAATCCTGCCTCGGAGATCGGCCGCTAGAGAAAGCCGAAAGGTAAGCCAAAAAGGAAACATCCGTTGCTATTTGCCCCCCGTCAAATTGCTGCAAAGCAAGAGAAAGTGATGCGACTAAACCTGCTGGAATTCTTCTATTTCCCTCGAAACTCTTAGACTCGAATGCGATTACTCGCGGCGGGAACTATTTTCAGTCAATGTCGATGGCGTCTTCGTCGTTCTCCGGGTCGGGTAATGCTCTAATGTGGTTTCGGAAGGGGCTTCGGATCCACGACAACCCAGCCCTAGAATGTGCTTCCAGAGGGGTTACAGGTGGGGGGTTTCTTTACCCGGTGTTCGTGATTGATCCACATTACATGGAGCCCGACCCGAGGGCTTCCTCACCTGGGTCGAGTCGAGCCGGTTTGAACAGAATCCGGTTCTTGTTGGAGAGCTTGAAAGATCTGGACTTGAGCTTGAGGAAGCTTGGTTCAAGGTTGCTGGTTATGAAGGGTGAACCTGGAGAGGTTTTGATCAACTGCTTGAAGCAAGTGAGACCTTAATCTCTCTCTTGCTTGCTTTCTTAGCTATAAGAAGAATTGGCTTGTTCTTTGAAACTTTTTTTATTGCTAAAACCTTGGGAAGTCCCTAAACAATGGTATTAACTATTCACAGCCCTTCAAAAGGCAATGAATATTTTACTAGTTTTCTATTATTGTTGTCATTACTTACTCCAAAGAAGCACTTACCAGCAAATTTTGGTCTTAGTTCCATTTCTAAAACTCAGCTATATGATTATAGTTCAAGTCCCTAAACAAAGTTTTTATTGTGTGTTCTTCTTGCAGTGGAATGTTGAAAAGCTTTGCTTTGAGTATGATACAGATCCTTATTACCAACAGTTAGATATGAGAGTTAAGGTTTGTACTGCTTACTGACTTTAGAACTCCTGTACTTGCCAGTTCTTACATTTTTTTATTTTATTTGTGATATGCCTTCAAAGAAGTCATCTTCAATGTTAGCTAAAAATGGTGGAAGCAGATAATAAATTCTCACACCACATCATGGTTATTACTCTGTGCTTTATTTAGGACTACGCATCTGCAGCTAGAATTGAAGTCTTTTCTCCGGTGAGTCACACTCTATTCAATCCTGCTGATATCATACAAAAGGTGAGTTACATAACTTCACACCTTCGATGAATTTAGTATCCACATGCAGAAATCATATGAAATATTCGTAATCTGGTTTGAACAGAATGGAGGAAGGCCGCCTGTGAGCTACCAATCATTTCTGAAGCTCGCTGGGGAACCCTCATGGGCGTCTTCCCCACTCATGACAATATTTCCTTCACTTCCTTCTGTTGGAGATGTTGGAAGCTCTCAGATTGTGGAAGTCCCTACTTTGGAAGAGCTTGGTTATGTGGACATTGAAATGGTTTGTATCATTGTATGAACTTAGGCATATACTGAAATTATGTTCTGATGTCTCCTTCTTAACCTCACTTCGGCTCTGTTCTCTAAAATTTGTAGGGCAATGAACTGCCTCCTTTTAGGGGTGGTGAATCAGAAGGATTGAAGCGGCTGCGAGAAGCTATCAGCAATGAGGTAGGATCACATGAGTGAGACCTTGTGTTGAGAACTCTAGTGGCTTGGAATAGTTACTTCTTAAACAACTATGGATAGTTGTTAGTTAGTAGTACGTCATACCCAATAGGCCTATTTACTGAATCTGATATAGAGACGGTTCTACTCTCTAAATCTCCGAAGTCTCTTCATTATTATAGGAGTTAGAACTTTGATTGTATATCTCGAAACTAATCACGTGGCACAGATGTTTCATGTGTTCTAAGTTTTAACACTTGGTCTACTTGCTTTCCATCTCGTACCTCATTCAAAATGGATTTCTTTTTGTATTGCAGAAGTGGGTGGCGACTTTTGAAAAGCCTAAAGGTGATCCATCGGCATTTCTAAGGCCTGCAACTACAACACTTTCACCGTATCTCAAAGTGAGTTACCAGTAGAATGCATCTATATGTCATTTCTATTCATTCTCGCTGGCATATTTAATATCTGGTTATCAGTTTGGATGTGTTTCTTCCAGGTACTTCTACCAATGCATTCAGGATGTTTATACAAGAAACAAAAAACATACATCACCACCAGTTTCTCTTCTTGGCCAGGTTAATCCAAAATTCTATGAGCTATGTGTGATTCTGGTCAGTGAAAATCTATTGAGTTATAATCTGTTATTTTAACAGTTGTTGTGGAGAGATTTCTTCTACACTGTGGCTTTTGGTACTCCAAACTTTGATCAGATGAGAGGAAACAAAATATGCAAGCAGGTAAGGTAATAATTGCCTGCGTGGATTTGCTCACATTAGTAAATTTTTCTTATGTATTTTTGTTATAATGTACATCTCATCGACTATATTAAGTTAGCTAAATACTTATCAACATTGAAAGGGTTAAATTAAATAATTACCTATGTTGCCATGTAGATACCGTGGAATGATAATGATGAATTGTTAACAGTTTGGAGAGAAGCTAAAACAGGATATCCTTGGATTGATGCTATCATGACCCAAGTTAGTTCCTTTCCATTTTTGCTTCTTTCTTTTGATAGGTAGTTCTGTTATAGTGCTACTATGTACCCTTTTGTTTGTGTTTCTATTCCATTGGGCGTAGCATTGCAAGTAATTTCATCCAAGTTTGTTTCTTTCTTATAATTGCAGCTCCACAAGTGGGGTTGGATGCATCATCTAGCAAGGCATTGTGTTGCATGTTTCCTGACTCGTGGTGATCTGGTACAAGTTCTACTTCTAGCTCGTCATTCTTTCTTCTCGGTCTTTAGCTTTTACTGCAAACATTAAATTGTCTGGTTTTCTCCTGGTTTTAGTTTGTTCATTGGGAAAAAGGGCGTGATGTTTTTGAAAGGCTTCTGATTGATTCGGACTGGGCCATCAATAGTGGGAATTGGATGTGGCTCTCTTGTTCGTCATTCTTTTACCAGGTAAGCAACTTCAGTTATACTATTAGTCAGTTGACTGTCAAGCCGGTGAACTGCTTTGTGTTCCTTTGGTTTGCAGTATAATCGGATCTACTCACCGATATCATTTGGGAAGAAATATGATCCTAACGGGAACTATATTAGACATTTTCTGCCTATATTGAAAGGTAAAGCTTTTCGCTGCTTTGCCATTCATTGTTTTTCTGCATGTTCTGTTTAGACTTTAGATGATAATTGTAATAACGGATGGCTGTTGCAAAAATATGGAACTAATACAGATATGCCAAAGGAGTACATCTACGAGCCATGGACTGCACCTCTCAGTGTCCAAACTAAAGCCAAATGCATCATAGGAAAGGACTATCCAAAACCTAGTATGTTGTTTTGTTGTAAAACCTTCATTTCCAAGTCATCCTAAGATTTATGTTCTTTCAGATTTTCTATTACGGCAGTTGTTTTTGACGACTGATGTGATTATTGTTTCTTTCAATGGCCCTGGTTCTGCAGTGGTGTCTCATGATTCAGCAAGCAAAGACTGTAAGCAGAAGTTGGCCGCAGCTTATGAGTTAAACAAGAAGTTAAATGGGGTTGTTAGTGAAGAGGATCTGAAAGTCTTGCAAAGAAAACTGGATGCAACTTGTGATTCCGTTCTCAACCCAGTTCACTCCCACTCTTCTTCCGGTGATAAAAGGCAGAGACGGTCATAGGTTTTATTAGTCATCTAGACACGCAATGTGTACTATTATATATTTAAAGTAGCCAAAACAAACTACCATATTCATATATCTGTCCTATATTATGATGATGGACTCTGCGATTTGACAGCATTCTGTTTCAGTTCTTCCCAGATATCTACATGTCAATGTGTAACACTACAGAACAATAGAATGAAAGAACGATGGCTTGATTATTTATAATGGTTGAGCACTGAAATGAAATCTGTGGCTGCAACTTCTGTCCCTTAACTGCTTGGCTGGTCCTCTCACTCCATTGCACTGCATTCTGTTGTTGGCAGGCCTCGACATAATCAAGCAGCAGAACGTGGGTTTGCTGCAACTTATGCACTAGCACACATCTTACAGTTTCAGACCTCTCAATCCCACCTGTTATTTAAGAAGTCTCTTTTTTTTGAAAGAGGAGACTTTTATTCCAATCCGAGTCAAAAGAAGCCAACAGGTTACTGAAGTGGCGATGGCAAATCAGCAACAACAACCAAATCCAATGGTAACGAATTGACACGAGCGTTCCGAGCCACCCAATCAGCCATTGCTCATCAGCAGAAACCAAGTGAGCGTTGTTTGTTTACTCCCCGCAATTTATTGTCAATCCACTGACTTGAAACTTTGCAGACAATGCCACCACCATTTCTTTCAAAAAACGTGCACCATCAACAAGTTACATGAACACTTTCCCTACAGCCACCTCAAACCAGAGCCGCAGATAAGTAAACCCAAAAATCGAAATCGGGATCACGCACAAGATATACGCCGAAACCCCAAACCACGTCAACCCAGAAGCCCCTTCGAAATTGGAGATCATTAGCGACAGCGACGCCGCGAACGTCAGCAAGATGCAGGCTATGGCGACGTAGAGCCAGAGCAGGCTCTGTATCAGCATCTTGGGCAGCGCCACCAGGAAATCCTCCTCCTGGCACCGCGACATCAGCATCTTCAGGAACATCAGCAGCGAGATCGAAGACGCCACGAGGGCGACGGCGTTGGTGTAGACGAAGCTGCGGAATCGAGAGTGTCGGGAGAGGATCGGCAGGCCCGATTCGTCGGTGCCGCCGGGGAACGTGAAGCAGCCGGCGAAAGCGACCGTCACTATAAGCGCGGCTATGGTGGCGCAGTTGGAAGAGATCTCTTTCATCCACTGGCCGCCCTCTTGGACCAGCTCCTTGTGCTGCTCGGTGAAGACTTCCCTCGGGGTCTTGCCGGCGTTGTTCTTCGCGTTGCGATGCCTTTTGTCGACTATCTTTTCTGCCGTCTGTAGAGAGAAAGATGGTCAAAAGTTGGAATTGGTTAATTTATTAATTATTTAGTATATGTGTTCAGTCACCAAATCGTGTTAATAATTCTGTCTCAATTTGTTGATAACTAGTATATCTAGCGTTAATAAGCTAGTTACAACAGCAGTTCCGTTCATCAGCTGGGATAGTAGGACAGTCAAACTAGTTACAATAGCAGTTCCGTTCATTTGCTTGGACGGATAAAAATGAAACGAACGATTTTTAACGATTTGACATGAAATGAGATGAACTATTCTGGTTTGATTAGTCCATTACTTCACTATCTGAACCACAAAATTTTAAGATAACAAGTACTTTTAACGTAAACTAAGATCATCCAACTTTAATTGCTAATTTTATTTGTACTTCCTTTTCTTCAATTTCCAGACTCCTCGTTGTCTTTGTATTGTTCACTATGATTAGTTAGAATTTTTTATAATAGATGACATGAATTTGAAATTATTTATAATTAGTAATAGATGTAGTACTAAATTAGTGATATGAATTCGAATAATTAGATCTTTTATGTTCATAGGGAGGCATGAACAATTCTAATGACAACTAATCAACCATTCTGCAATTAACGGTTAATCGCCGAACCATAAAACCACCTCATTTCCCGGTTCATCCTCCAGTTTCGTTACGAAAACAGAGGTGCTAATTAAGCAACGTAATCAAGGCACAAATTAAAGATGACCGAATCTCATCGAGCTAACCTTGAACCACTTCAACTCGCGCTGAATGTGCATAGCCGGCCCGCAGACATTGTCGGCGGGTCTGATCTCCGCCGCCAAATGCAAGAAATTGTTGCCCTCTCCGTCCTCGAGAAACCTGCCGCACGGTGGGAACGAAACCTTCCGCGTCAGGAGCTCGAACACTTCCAGCTGCCGGTGGAGGACGGCCTGGTGGAACAAGCTGTGCCCGTTCCCGTCGAAATCGAGGACCGCCCTGGGGTAATTCGTCAGGATCGCCTCCACGAACTCGACGATCCCCAGCCTCACCGCCGTCTGGGTCGAGGATTTCAGCACCTTCAGCACCTCTGGGCCGCCGAGATCGAGTGCCTGGTCGATCAGGAACGTGAGCAGCTCCACGGCGTGGGTGTGGTGCAGCTTCTGGTTGTAGAGCCGCTTCTGGAGGAAGTGGTGGCGGTAGGCCGTCACGTAATCTTTTGGTCGCGAATGCCAGTTGCTCGACTCCTCTTCGTCCGCTCCCTTCTCGTATTTCCCGGCGCGTGGAGCGTGGATGACTGCAAAGAATAAATTAGTGTCAGGAAATTGCCATCAACAGTGAGTGACCAAAAACTAATTTTAAAAAAGAAATAGTGACGACATATATATATATATATAGCGACGACTAACAGTGGTAGAAGATGGCGTCGGAGATGCCGAATTCGGTCCCACTGCGGAAGGCCTCTGGCTTGTGTGCTAAAGTCTCCATTGGTGTCTTCCACTTGTCGTTCTCTTCCCATGCCAGGGATGGGTAGCGCTTTAATATGTCCAAGGCAACATCTAAACACAAAACATTTAATTTAATTAATCACGTACTTTAGTCAATAATTAACTAGAAGTTCATATTGAACATTTGAACAGATTCTCGAACAAATAATTGGACCCCTCCCCACCACCAAATATTGGTGAATGGTGACAAAGGATGTGGAAAGAGGTGGCGATCAGGAGAAAATTATTCAAAACTTAATATATATTTATTTGTTTCGTTCTGATGAATGAAATATTTTTTTTGTCAAATGTGCCAATTAATATAATCAAGATCTGCTGTGGAAGCATGCCAATGTGAAATGACTAGGAATAGGGAACCCATGTTTGGGATATATATAAAACTTAAATTGCTAACATTCTAGTCCCCAAAACTTTGACACTATATCGATAACTACGTACGTAGATTCATTCCAGTAAACTAAGTAGGTGAGATATATAGAAGAACAAGTTTTGTACGATTTAGATACTCAATCTAGAGTCTACAACTAAATTTTTATTGATCATAACACTTGATTTTCATATTCACGCTATCAAATGAAAAAATTTACAATTTTCTACTTGAATACGGAGTTGATTATAGAAAGAATCACTCAAATTATGAACAATCATCATTCGTCGCTGCATGTTAGTGACTAGTAAACTTTAATTTTAAGTTTTACTGTTTTACCAATATCTTCGTTAAAATATAAAGTAACCAATGCGATGAAGTAAACATTTTGAACGGTTATCAAGTAGAAATGAACAGATTGATCAAAAATCAATATTGGGTGACCAATTTGTTAGTGACCTAGAAATTCGATGACAGCCGATGTAACTAACCCACGACGAGACAGTTGTTCATTAAAAAAAAAATACAAATAAAATGTGAGACCGTTGACCAAAATGGCTGGAGAGGAAAGCAGATGCAGGCAGCAATTAGACACCAATCGCATTTGATTTCAGCAATATTAATGACAATTAGTTACCGTATAAATCGGCCGAAATGAGGAGATGGACGAGTTTGACCCCAGATTCACCGTCGAACAACCGGTTCGGATCCTCCATTGATCTTCCCGACTCGCTGTCCACTGCCGCGGATCCCTTTGGCCGGCGGCTGATCTCCGACAGAAGCAAGCTGACAGTGTCTCGCCGCCCAAAAGCCGCCGCCACATGGAGCGGGGAGTCGTCGTCGCTATTTCTCTCCATTAGCAACGATCGGTTGCTATTCATCAGGATTTCGACCGCCGGCTTATTCCCCACCGACGCGGCATTGTGGAGCGCCGTGTTCCCGTTCTCGTCTTTCTCGTTGACCAAGTCCTTGGAGATTCTGCTCACGAGCTCTTTGATCGAATCGGGGTTCCCGCCGGAGAGAACCTCGATCTGGAGGTGCGCCTTTTGCCGCCTTAAGTTCCTCGTCGTGTCGTGAACTCTGTTGGAATATCCCGTCGCTAGAATCACTTCGTTGCCACCGTCCATCGGTTCTGCTAAATGATTGAAAAATCGGATCGTATCGACAATTCGACCAGAAAAAGAATAGAAACAATTTATATACCTGATGAACTGAGAAGAGGCAAACTTTGTTCCTGGAGTAGTCCTGCTGTTCCGAAGCTCTGGGAGGCAGCCTGCTGCTGCTGCGCCATTAGGAATTTTAAGAGGAGAGAGTAATGAAGCTCCCGGCCGGCCACAAGGTCCAATCTAAACGAGTAGTAGTAATGAAAGAATGATCTTTTTAATTTCCTCCCTTTGCATGTGTTAATAGTTTATATGTTGGATCCCATCTCTTATCTTTAGTAAGTCAACCCATCCGATGGTGGGTCGTATTCACATTTATTTTACAATAATTTTTATTTGGGTGAGGAAATTTATATAGGAAACTTTACCGAACATTAGATTTGCTTAATTGGATTTTGAATGTGACTTGTGAACCTAGGACATAAAACAATATTAAGATTAAAAAAAAAAAAGTGTACTCGTACTTCATAGAGATGGAAAATGGAAGAAGACTAAGTATAATTGGTAGGTAGATGGAGATGTGGAATTTGGAGCAAATTGTTTATGAAACATATATATTTTTTTTATTTTGGCATAGATATGTTGGTAATAGATATTACAAGACTTGAAGAACCAGACGCACCAGTCAATACTAGTCGATCTGTCGATGAAAGAGCCATATAGCAGCCACAAAATGGGTAGCTCTGATAGAATCCTAGAAATAAAACGACACAAGCTTAAGGTCTATTAAAAAAGAGCCACCACCAATGATCGTGAACCATTCATCAGCTCGCCAAAAGTCAAAACCACTTCTCCTACAAAATAAAACAGAGACACAGCTCCAGACTAGGCACATAAAATGGAAGAATCGAACGAAGTCACATAAAAGGATACAAACTTCGATACCACCAACTTCAAACACCAACTAGAACAACATAACTAAAGTCTTACATGATCCAAAGGGTCCCTGCAAAACAAACAAACAAGACCCAGATTAATTATGGCGGATGCGCTAGAAAAGGCCCCAAGCAAGTCCAAAATGGCAAAGGGATAAACACAGCTAGGGTTTTAATGAGCCGAGCCGAGCTTTGCCATAGTTCGGGCTCGGCTCGTTAATATATTTTCAGGCTCGAGCTCGGCTCGTGTTCATCACGAGCTGTAATATGCAAGCTCGAACTCGGCTCGTTTATGAAAATGAAAGCTCGAGCTCGCTCGTCCAATAAGCTTAATGAGCCCAAAATCGAGTTCAACTAATAAATTGTTCATGATAGCTCAAGATTGACATAGAACTGAGCACAAAATTAAATTCAAACTTGTAGCAATGTCTAGCTAAGTAAAACACAATATATATCCCAATTTCAATACATAAAATCAATAAATTTTAATCCTTTTTTTATGCCAACCATTAAATGAGCTTGTTCGCGAGCTTTCGAGCTGAACATGGTATGGCTCGAGCTCGGCTTGTTTAGTTAACGAGCTTGTTCACGAGCCGACTCGATTAAAACGAATCGAGTGTCGAACGAGTTTTTCTCGAATCGGACGCCGAACCGTTCATGAGCGGCTTGGTTCATTAACGGCCCTAGATTTGCTCCCTTCTGCAGTTCTGCTAGCCAAGAAAACCATTCCACGTGTTGACACCTGCCCGCTTTGTTGCTAGCTAGCGATAAATTATCATTATGGTTAATATCACTTTATCTTCATGTTTTACATTTTGCTAACAAATGTAAACCATAACTATTAAACGTAGTTTTTATGTTCTTGAATTTTGGTACTTTAACTTTCATACTTTCTTTGGGTATGCTTAACCCTTTTTTGTTTCCAAAAGTATGGAGTTAATTTAATTTCAATTTAGTTAATTGGGTATGAGTCTACCCAAATCTAATATTACTCATATCTTACCTAACTCATAATCACTTGGATTTGGACAATATCCACATATTAAAAAAATAAAAAATAAAAAATTGTGTCATCCCTAACTGAATCTACAAGAGGTAAAACGACAAGACGTACAACAAACTCGGTTACCATTTTTGAGTAGTTCGGTGAAAACAAAATCGGTGTTTGAACTTATTCATGTTGATATATAGGGTCTTTATCAACAGGCTTCTCTCGGTGGTGCTCATTATTTTCTCGCTATTGTGGATGATTTCAGTCGTGGTATTTGGTTATATTTGATGCTTTATAAATTCGAGGTAGGCCATTACATTAAGCTTTTCTGCAACATGGTTCGGAAACAAATTTGGCAAGACGGTAAAACGCATACAAGGAGACAATGGTCTCGAGTTTAATACTGAGGTATTGAAGGAGTATTATAAAACTGAAGGAATTTTACTTCAGACTTCGTGCACCGACACACCACAACAAAATGGTGTGGTAGAAAGGAAACATCGACACAATATTCTGGACACTGCGAGAGCTTTGCGATTTCAAGCAAGCTTGCCCATTTGTTTTTGGTGAAAATGTGTACTTACAGCGATTTATCTCATAAATAGGTTGCTAACGACATTGTCTCTCATTTTTCACCGACCAAGTTCCCCATCCTTTATCGTCGTTATTTCTCATTTTTCACCGACCCAATTCTGAAACTTCCCTATTGGTAATAAGACCTCCACAATATTAGTAGGACTCCATGACCTCTGTAAACAACAATAGAGGAAAAAAGAGAATACACAGAAAATAATTACCCAGATTCTTTGTCCTTCCCTCGCTGTTCAAACTCGAAGAGACAACAACAAATCCATATCAAGAGTTAAGATGTGAAAGAACAACAAAATTTACAAACCCCTCTTCTATATACCTTCTTCTGCACTGATTGTCCTGACGGCTTCAATTCCTTGTTCACTGAAACTTCTTCCTCACAATAGATACTTCTTTCCTCAAGGGATCTGTCAAATCTTCCAGCTCCTGTAGCAACAAAAAGATTCACAAGCTTAGGTTCAGAAAGGCAGAGGACAAGACAGCCCCTCCCATGTCATTTTCACCCAAATCCGGATTGAATTCGGTGTTCGTTCATCCTCATTAATTGATTGAAAATTTTAGGGCGTGAAACTTATGGAAGCGATTAGTTGGGGGAGGGGTTAACATATGGAGGGATATTTTTGTACTAAGAGGACTTATATTCGTATGAGCCATGTATCAATGTTTAGATAGGAAAAAGTTAATCTGCTAACTTGAAGATTCGTTAGCAAATACTAACTGATATCCAAAATACATGAACTAATATCTAAGTACTAAAGTATCCAGAGAGCACAGACTAGTATTCAAAGTTTGCTAACTGATATCCACCATGAATCAACTATTATCCCAAATTCACAAACTAATATCTAGACAACACAGAATAGTATCCAAACAGCACATAATTAGTATCCAGATAACACATAAGAGTATCCAGATAACCCATAAGAATATCCATATTGAATACTAGTTGGTTGATTGTGGATATTAGTTGGTATCTGCTATCTGGATACTAGTTTGTGATGTTTTGAATACTAGTCTGTACTATCTAGATACTTAGCAGACTTGGATATTAGTTCATACATTTTGGATATTAGTTAGTATATACTAACAAATTTTCAAGTTAGCAGAATAACTACGCTGGTTTAGATAGGTCACAATTTAAAAGAGACTAACTAACTTTGAACGGCAAGAACAGAATTAAAAAAAAGTACTTCAGGGACTAGGAAAATAAATAGTTCAGAGACCAACGATAAATTAATATTATAGTTCGTCCGAGTACAAAAATACAATTAAGTCTTAATAATAGTTAAACATATGCAAGTAATTAAAGACATGCGCACACTAACAGCAATTAAACCGATAGGTTTGATATAAATTTAATGATAAAATAAATCGGGAGAGAGATGCATAAATCCGTAAATAAATATGATTAGGAAGAATAAGAAAGCAGGTGGTGCGCCTGGAGAATCTCGGCAAGCGTTTGGTGCAAAGCACTGCCAGAGCACTTGTACACACTGCACCACGCCTGAATGAAGAGCACGATGATGAGGGCCAGCCCCGTGAAAATAACCAATGCCTGGATGGTGACCTTGGCGTACTTCTTGGAGAGCCTCTTCACCAATGTCTTCCACTTGTTGCTGTAGAAATCCCGGACCCGCCCCACGGTTTGGTCCAGTATGGTCTGGTCCTTGGGATAGTTGGTCCCCGTCCCCATCGCGGTGAACATTTCCAGCACCGCGGTGGGGTCCCCGGCCCCAACGGAGATCACTCCCTCCTCCATCAGGAGCTGCACGTCCTCCACGGAGCGGACGAGGCCGTGCATGAGCTCCATGTAGCGCTTCAGGAGGAGGGAGCTGGACTTCGCGTGGGCTTCGTAGGCCAGGAGGTTGCGCATTACCACCTCCGTGTTGGGGCTCCAGGTGAAGGCGGGGAGCTCCAGCGTCTTGGCACGATGGTCGAAGCGGATGTTGCTCAGGCCGACGTTGCGTGCCCGCAGGACCTTCACGCCCACTCTTTTCAGCTTGTAGACGGAAGGGACGAGGCGCTTGTCTTCTTTCAGGACCTGGTCGAGCATGGTGAAGACGCGGAACACTCCCGTTATCGGCAGTTTGTCTGTATGTACGGTCAACAAGACGAGAAATAACAACAGATTAAGATTCCAGCTAGATTAGCTAGATCTCATGAATACCATAATATAAGTAGTACATATTTTTAATTTTATGGACGTCTCTATGTCCGGTCAACAACAAGAGAAACAACAACAACAAAAACCAACAGATTAAGAGGTGGTTTGGAAGTTACGAATGTTAAATCGTTGCATTGTAATGAATCACCATAAAGTTACTTTTAGCAATACATCGTTTGGTTGCTGAGATTCTACTTTTTGCATTGATTTACATACAGTTACTTTTATGGGGAAATGTCACATTTACCCTCAACTTTTAGAATAAGACAACAACTATTGAGGATATAAATGGAAAGAAAAAGTTGACACAAATCTAAAACCAACAATCACAACTTTTAGATGAGATTGTATAATGCATCGTTTTTTATGATTGTTGGTGTGACCTACCTAAAACAATGCATGCATTGTATAGCACTTTGGCACTTCCAAACATTGTATTGTGCACAATATATGTATTCAACAAACACAACTCTAACAAACACAACTTCCAAACGACCCCTAAGATTCCGGCCAGATTAGCTAGATCTCATGAATACCATAATAATATAAGTAGTACATATTTTTTAATTTTATGGACGTACCATTTTGTTGAGCAAAGGATTGCAGCTGGTTCGTGACTGTTTCGTCAATTTTGATGGACGACTCCATTTTACTGAAGAGGCTCTTCGCACGGTTGACCCGGTTGCGTTCGGCGTTATTTCCGTGGCCAGGGGCGGGAAGCGAGGTGGTTTTCTGTAGCAG